AATTTGGTTGTAAGGATGATATCCTGCTCTGATGATGTTCATCATACGACGGACAAAAGCTTAGCACGTTTTCACCGGAATCGAAAGAGATTACCTCGGAAACAGCGTCAACAAAAATATTCCAATAAAGCCAATTGACAGCTGGTCAAGGGGAATTCGCTGTCGTCTTCTGGTAAAATCGACATTTGAATCTCTTTACCAAACTTTTCCACTCGAAATGGAAGGAAGCTCAACAATTATAAAACAAGCTGCTCTTAGAAACCCAACTTTTCTTCGCACACATGTTTGGGGCCTGGTTATCACAGGACTAGAGAGACGGATAATCACGACTGTCATTTGGTTAGGAGGTCCTTATCGGATTAGTAAATCGAGAGAGGGGTCTAGGCAAATAGCAAGTGTGATGAAGCCACACTAGACTCGGCAAATATAAACAAGTCAGAAGTTTTGAAATGTTGAGAGTGAGATACGAGTGTAGGTAATGGGGAACGTTGTAGGACAAAAAGAGGAGAGATAGCACAACCATTTGGCAGATAGTTGGCCACGAGATTGACTTCATTTGTCTCTGACGAGTTGTAGTTTGGTGCTAAGAATGACTAGAATCAATGATGATGTAGAAAAAATGTCTGCGAATGTACCAAGTAGACCGTCAAACGATAGTGATTATGGTAACTACTATATCAAAGGATTTCGGGCAAGGTGCGTCCAATTAGGTCGCGATCAAGTTACGAAAACAAGGTTAGATCGCTTCTACATTTAATTATGTTTTTATCTTAAACTATTTGAACTTAATATGAGTTCACATTTATTTTATTATCTTGCTCCTTTCTTACCTGCCCAATTTCGTTACAGATGATTATTCAAGGGATTGTGGCGTTGAAGCTTAAGCCTACAAGATGTTTTTACTACCTGTTTCACTTTCCCTCAACATCTAGCCATTCTCAAGCTTTACATATTTCCGTATTTTGCCGCAATCACTCATCTCGTCTGCTTTCAATCATAGGGCATCCATATCAGTTCACTTATAACATTTAATGTCTAAAGGCCTACAAACAAACGGATATTTATGTATTATTCAAGCATAATCTTCAAACATACCACAGGCATCTTATGTATTTATAAATTAGTTTTCATCGATCCGCTTATTTTTCATTGTTTCTGAGCGAATCGCAAGAAATATGCACATAAGTATAAATATACGTATTTTTCTTCGATTTCCTCTCAAACTTTCTTCATTCCTTCCCATCCATTGTAGATCTCCAAGATATGTGTACATTGGTTTTTAATCAAAATTTTGGTTTCTAAACATTTCACCTATTATATGCTTCTGCAGCGAAGCTTTGTTTTTTTTTCTTAGCAACTATCGAAGCTCGATTATTTTACTCTTTAGGATTATATACTAGATTTATTTGGTTCAACAATCATTAAGGCAAGAGTACGTCGAGCTGCGCTGAGCGTATCTTCGATAAATGAATTATTGTCGCGTATACATTGAAAGGTTATTTAAATTTACAAAGGCTCTTAATTTGAGAAATCTTTTTTATTGAGATTAAGATATTATTCCATCAATATCTCATGCTTTTTTACAACGAAACTAATAATTAAATTTGGTTCTGCTTCCTAGACGTATAGCCAAACGACCTGAAGACGAAATAATTTATTCTAGGTGTTGCATAAATAGGGTTTACGTAGCTGTCTTAGGAATAGATGCTAGCTATATCTATGTAAAAATAGAAATGAAGACGGGAACTAAACAACTGATACGATGTGCTGCGTTGTGTAACTGCGCAGAAGAGGCACCAAGATCAAGTGCTGTAACATGGAGACGCGGCTTTGATTTGAAGTCTGTTCGGTTAATGTCTGCCTAACGAAATGGCTATTGTGTGACTGGTCTTCAACGCTGAGTGATCATGGTTCTTAAATAGCTTAAGTCTAGCCGAATACTATAATGCAAGTACAAACGCGTAGCTCGAAGGTAATATTGATCCGAAGAGAGAAGAGGGATCAATCTACTAAATACCTAGTGGGATGTGAAGTCGTCTTCTCTCTCGTGTTGAATGGATGACTCGGCTTTGTGTTAGGTGGAAGCATCTGGTGGATGTAAAAATAGGCTCAGGTCGAGCGCGGAGTCTTTAAATAGCATCCAAACCTATATATTATCAATGGAAGGCGACGATGTGCGGGTCAAAGCCTAAACTGACTTGCATGTGGAGCATGCGAGCGAAGAGAGCTGGTGGGATAAGGTGTAGTTGATTAAGTAGTGCAAACAGGCTCAAGCCTATACGTCATGTGACAATGTAAGGTGCTGAATGGGTATATAAGTTCAGCGTCGCATAATATTTATGTTTCTTATTATTTAGGCTATTGCATATGCGATTTGGTTATATTTGATGGCACTTGGATCCGACCCTCAGCATGATGTAGCCTAGAGGATATTAAGAGCAAAAACTGTCGAATGCACAATTGTAGTTTGAGAGTCTCTTTGGGCATCGTAAAGGATTTCAGTTTATTGCCTGACCAAATTTAAATTCTTTATCCAGGTCATGAAGACCAGGATGGTGTGGCCTTTTGTGCGGTCGCAGTCTCCTTTCGTTGCATATAAGTTGTTTGGTCTTGTTTTCGCAACGGTAGTATTGGCATGAAAATGTAGAGGAACTCACCTAGTTTAGGGTTTATGGTAAGAATGATAATTTCCAGTCGGACCGTGGACGTGGTACATTCTCAGACGTTTCACCGGCATCATCAGTGAGTCTTGTCATTCTTAGCACCACAATATAACTAGTCAAAGAGAAGTGGAGCCTATTTGACCAATTGTCTGCTAAACAACCGTGATATCTCTGCTTCCCTTCTGGGCTAATCCCCAATCCTATACCCTCATATCATGTCTTCATTATCACAATTTTTACTTGCTTATTTAAATGTTGTGTGGTTGGCCTTTTGAACGGCTTTCATGGGAACTCTCTACACTACACTGGCTTTCTCACCCCCCTTCACCCTTCTGCTGGGAATGTTGATCAAAGTCTGCCATATTGTTACGCAGTCCTCCTTCCATAGGTTTTATCAGTCTCCCTCTTGCCCCGTTAGATCCCTCTGCTATCTCCCTGATTCAAGTATTTTACTCGACGCCTGCCACCTCATCTGTGCTACTCGAAGCGTTATTTCCAAAACTCTGCCTCTGTGAGACTAAAAGCTAAGGACTCGAGGCTAAAGTTTCTGAGTAATTATCATGATCGAGCAGTTGCTTCATGGACCACGTCGGGTAAAATAGGCCTAATGTCAGCCAACTAGCTCTAGTCTTCGCTGCGTCTATACTGTTTCTATCCTTAATACCAAGTCTATAACTTCCTAGGCTCTAGTATCTTGTGTGTCAACTCACAAGCGTTGTGGGTTGTCACAAGATACTAGGGCATAGGAAGTTATATAATTGGTATTAAGGATAGAAACAGGATAAATGTGTATCATGGATTACGTCTTTGATCAAACGTGTATTTTGTTAGCTAAATGGCTCTAGTCTTCACCGCGTCTATCCCGCCTCAATCCATAATACCAAGAATATCACTTCCTATTCCCTATTCTCTTATGTGCCAACCCAAAAATGTTGTGGTTATACTTGTTTTGATTAGGCTCACTGAAGACGTCTCCTTTTGACTTTGATCGTTTCTTTCTAGTATCCTTATGATTTATTTTCCTAAAATTAAAGTTGAAACTTTGATCCAGTCATCTTCGTTTTGCTGATCTTACTGTTGTCTGGTCTTCGAGTTTGTTTAGGCAATATGCAAAGTTTTCGCTGATCCTCCCTTCATGTCTCGGATTTCGAGTTTTCTCGTATTCTCACCATATGTGGCCAGCCTTTCTGTCGATTCCATGTCCCGTTGGCGCAATGTGTTACACTATTTCGGATCTCTCGGCATCCATATTCTTGCAGAGTCTTTGATGTTCCTTCATTCGTGGGCCGATTTTTCTTCCTGTTTACTTTGCTCACAGTTGCCTCATTCGATGCGATAAACTCCCGAGCAATTCAGGTTTCCAGTCTTCTTGTGTTGCGTCGGCAAAATGGTGAAAAGTGTTGTCCTCCCTTTGTTATCACCTTGATGCTCCATTTCCTTAGTAACGGTCGCAATTTTTGGCTCAGTTCAGACGAGGGCAGGCAAATAAACTTTTGCTCGTCCCGATTCCTGATCAGATTTTCATAAAATACGAGTTGAAATCTGCCCTTTACAGTCTCTACATTTTGTTCTATAAATTCTCTGGGGTACCCGTTACTAAGGCAAATCCGTGCCAGTTTGTCCAACTTCTTGTCCCAGAACTAAGTGTCCGTTAGTCGTAAGCTTCTGATGATCAAACTTGTATTCTGATATTCAGTCGGTAGTTATAGTGAGACTGAAAAGTATGAATTCTTTCTGTATAGTCCCCTCATGAGTGTCCCGTTGGAGCGCATGACTTCAGTATCCAGAAAGGGTGTTCGTTCATTTTCCTCCACCTCCATAGTGAATTTAATTCTTTCGTCAAGTTGGTTAATGAAATTGAGGAACCCATTCAAATTTTCCTTGCAATGTAACCAAAGTGCATAGTCATCCAAGTATCGCATAAGCACTTTTGCTTGAAGTAGTGACTTCTCGAATTCCTCTTCCAACTTATCTATGTACACATTTGCAAAGAGTTGAAAGTGCAGATCCCATCGGTAGTCCAAATATTTGCACGTAGATACTGCCGTCAAATGTAAAAATGTAGTCCTTATTGCCATTTCGATCAGTTGTGTTAACCATTCCTTCCGTATCCGTTCTGCCTCCAGGGTATCATCTTCTAGCTCCAATATCTCCAGCAATGCGTTTACCGCCTTCCCATGGATCATACATCGAAATTCACCAACAGTTCTGTTCCCACCAGATAATGTTCTCGATCCTTGAGAAAATTGATATGAATTCTTAGAGGTATTCTAGAGTCATTTACTTTCTTAAGCTTCAAGCAAATGAATTTCGCTAGTTTGTTGCACGATGTTTGTTGTTGATTTTTAATCTCAGTGGATTTCCTTCCTTGTTTATTTTCGGTAGTCTGTAGCCTGTCGGTGGTCTTAAGTCATTTTTATTAAATATTTCATCATCCATCTATCAATTTCCCCATTATTATTCATTTCCTTTAGCATATTCTACAGTGTCCTGTTGATTTTCTTGGTTGAATCCTTACTATTTGATAAGTGTTCCAGTCGCCTAGGATACTTTCCATTTTCTCAGTGTACTAGTTTCTGTCTATTACAATTGTCGCTCCTCTTTTATCCGCCTTAAGAACCATTTGATCATTATTTTGTATTTTTTTCATATACCAGTCAGCCTACCCATGTGTATCGGTTCTTGATGTGCCAGGATCCGTGGGATAAATTCTATTTCCATCTCCCTCTTTGGGATATTTCTTCGACATGTTGACAAGTTCCACCAGAAAATCACTAAGAACGTTTCCTTTGTTACCTAGTGACAAATGCAATCCCTTTTTTAAGGGATTTATGGCTTCAAAATCAAGAGGAATTGAGGAGAGGTTTACCTCCTTAGCCTTATCTTCGTTTGTAGCAGTTGATCCCTTCAATATAGAACTATCAAAATGATAGCCGCTCAAAAGGGTACACCATATCACATTTAAATAGGCAAATAAAAATTGTGATAGTGAAGTCGTGATAAGAAGATATAAGATTGATGATTAGCCTAGGGCGGAAGGAGAGATACCACGATTGTT